AAGTATAAAATTTATGATTAAAACATAAGGCCTAGTAGACATGGATGGCCAGTTGAGCACCCATTGCTGAAGAGTTCTGCATATCCATGTGGATAGAAAATATTGTTTTTCATAGTATATTTTGAATAAAAGGCAAAGGAAAGTTTGTTGTACTTACAACTGTGTTCTAAAAACTACAGTCAGTAGCTCAAATCCAACTCCTGCTGCCAGCCCAAGGTCAAGGCCAAGAATGACCGAAGCTGTGAAAGTCATCACCCATACTAACTGTGAAATATGGAAGAAGGGTTGTTACTGAAATGTAATCACACTAGAACATATTTATGTTACATCACACTGAGAACAATAATTTAAAATATATAAACTGGAACAGGAAAGGCTAGTAAAGGATAGATAGACCTATCAGGTCTATCAAAAAAAGGCAGCCCAATGGTCAACTGAAGTAGCTCACATGGCACAGTGAGAATTTTGCTGCTAATTGAAAAGCAGCATTTTAGCTAAGTCATTCTGTTCAGGAATAGATGGGCTCTTCAGGTAGGAAACTCTATAGTAATAATGGTGTGAACCTCCTGCGCTCAGAAATATCCCACACTAACTAACTAAGAGAAGCTGCTAACGTTAAATCATATACCAATGATCTTAATAGGACATGTACATAGAGAAATGTAGCGCTACTCACACTAAACACCATATATAAGTGCATAATCCACAAACATAAAAAGTGACAAATAGTGTATCAATAAATCAAAATCTCAAATTGACTAGTTCCGTGCCAACTTAAGTGAAATCATGCAAAAAACCGTCATCTAATACACTAATAAATATGACCAAAGCTAAAAGTGATGGTGACAATTAATAATAAATAATTCCAACTGCTAAAAATGCATAATATATACAACACTCCAAATAATAGTGCCTATAAAAGTGTACATATAAATATAAATGAAAAAAACGTGTACTTATACACACTCATAAATCTCTATATAAACCCCAATTCAGTGAAAAACAATGTATAGGACCAATGTGCATACACGTGAACAAATTCAGTGCACTGCACACAGAAAACGATGAAAAACTAAAAAGTAAATTCAGTGCTCATAAAGTCCAATATATATGGATGACAACACTCAGATGAGAAACGATAAAACTTTTGCTGATATTTGTGTGAAAGTGGATTTGGTTGTTGACAGAAGACCATCTGACCACCGGCTATATGAGCCTCTCACCTTAAAACTTCGACCCTTCGACCCGAAACTTGTGGGTCAAAGCGCTTATAAGGATCCCTCTCACAGATCCTCCAAGTCTGCTGCCACTCCAAAGAACTGCTCCTACGGTACACAAAACTCCCTCAAGGGGTCAGCACTCCAATATTGGCTCCTCTCGAGGAAAGATCAAATGCAGCGCCAACATCTCCCACCCCACAGCTCTCTTGATTAGTGAAGATTAGGCTCAGCTGCTGCAATTGATAGCTGACAGCATTTCAATGTTCTAAATCTATACAAACTGAGCTATTCCGCCAGAAACACTCACTGCACAAAGCCAATCATAAGGGCCACTGGAAGGATTACCAAGTTTCTATTGCTCTCACACAAAATATGTCACTATAGAATACCCTATTAGCAACAGCAGAAAAAATACTGAATGTATCCTTTAAAAAAACCTTATTAAAATATCTAGTAGCAGTTAGTTACAATGTAGTGAAAAAGTATTTGCCCCCTTCCTAATTTTTTGTTTTTGCATATTTCTCACACTTAAATGAATTCAGATCATCAAACAAATTTTAATATTACACAAAGATAACCTGAGTAACTACAAAATGCAGTTTTTAAATTATTATTTCATTTATAAAGGGAAAAAAAAAACTGTCCAAACCTGCCTGGCCCTATATGAAAAAGTAATTGCCCTCCTCCAGCTAAACCATGAATGAAAGCTGAGTTAAATGTCACTTGCTACTCCCACCCAGGCCTGATTAATGCCAGACCTGTTGAATCAAGGAATCACTTAAATAGAAGCTGTCTGACAAAGTCGAGCATGCTAAAAGATCTCAAGAAGCAACACATCATGCTGCGATCTAAAGAATCTAAACTTAGAACAGTGGTGAACCTTCCCAGGAGTGGCCGGCCTACCAAAATTACTCAAAGAGCACAACAACGACTCATCCAGGAGGTCATAAAAGAACACAAAAAACATCTAAAAAACTGCAGGCCTCACTTGCCTCAGTTAAGGTCAGTGTTCATGATTCAACAGTAAGAAAGAGACTGGGCAAAAATGGCATCTATGGGAGAGTTTCAAGATGAAAGCTACTGCAGACCAAAAAGGATACAAAGGCTCATCTCACATTTGCCTAAAAGCATCTTGATTAGCCCAAGACTTTTGGGCAAATATTTTGTGGACTGAGGAAACAAAAGTTGAACTGTTTGAAATGTGTGTCCCGTTACATCTGGCACAAAACTAACACAGCATTTCATAAAAATAACATCATACCAGGGGCGGACTGACCATTTGGAAACTCGGGCATTGCCCGAGGGCCCGGGGTCAGATGCCCCTGGTAACTTTTGCATAGGTTTTTTTGAGTTTGGGCAAGGACACATTATCCCCTATTGCCCGGGGGCCCCATGAGTTGTCAGTCCGCCCCTGCATCATACCAACAGTATGGTGGTGGGAGTGTTATGGTCTGGGGCTGCTTTTCAGCTTCAGGATTTGGACAACTTGCCATAATTGATAGAACCATAAATTGTGCTCTCTACCAGAAAATGCTGAAGGAGAATGTCCAGTCATCAGTTTGTGACCTCAAGCTCAAGCACACTTGGGTTATGCAGCAGGGCAATGATCTGAAACCACACTAGCATGTCTATCTCAATATTAAGGTTTTGGAGTGGCCTAGTCAAAGTCCAGACTTAAATCTGATTGAGATGCTGTGGCATGACCTTACACAGGCCATTCATGCTTGAAAATCCTCTTAAGTGGCTGAATTAAAACAATTCTGCAAAGAAGAGTGTGTCTCAATTCCTCCACAGCGATGTGAAAGACACATTGACAGTTATCGCAAATGCAGTTGTTGCCGCTAAGGGTGGCACCAGGTGCGGACTGACCACCACGGACTGGCACTGCCCGATGGCCCGGGGTCAGTAGGGGACCCCATGAGATGCCCCTGTACCTTTTTCATAGGCTTTTTTGAGTTTGGGCAAGGACACAGGGGCCCCATGATCCCCTATTGCCCGGGGGCCCCATGAGTTGTCAGTCCGCCCCTGGGTGGCACAACTAGTTGTTAGGTTAAGGGGCAATTACTTTTTCACATAGAGCCAAGCAGGTTAGTATAGCTTTTTGACAGCTCATCATTTTTAAAACTGCATTTTGTATTTACTTGGGTTATCATTGTGTAATATTACAATTTGTTTGATGATCGGAATCATTTAAGTGTGAGCAAACACTTAACAGCACTGTACAGGTGACCCTAAATATTCTTTTATGTAAACTATAATGTCAGATCGTTCCATCTCAGGATTTGTCTTTGATTATGAGGCAAGATGAGGGCTTTTTCAGTGGAAACACGGGAGAACCTCCAGCACTGATGTATGTAATGGCAAAGGGTACTGTAGGGTCTACTGTTGCTAGCTGCTGGGGGAACTATTATTTCTAAGGGGGGGGGTCTATTATTATTGTGGAGGTCTGTTGTTGTTGGTGGGGGATCTGCTGTTCTCGGGTTGGGGGAGGTATACTGGGAGGATGTCTATTGTTACTGACTGCTGGGAGAACTATTGCTGCAGGCAGGAGTCTATTGTTGCTGGGGTGGATCTATTGTTGCTGTCCGGGATTATTTATTTGTGTGTGTGGGTCTGTTGTTGATGGAGGGGGATCTATTGATGCTGGGAGGATTTATTGTTGCTGAGGAGATCTGTTGTTACCAGGGGGATTGTTGTGGACCTTTTGAATTATGTCTCAAAAAAAACATGACTTTATCAAGACATAACATTATATGACAAGCAGATCAGTATAGCCGGATGCTAAGAGTTAATTTTGTCTTGGTTGAACCCTCGAAGGATCCTAGTTAAGAAATGGATAGAATGGGGGAAGTGAGACTTTTCCAAGACAATAAGACTGTTTGGACTGTCAACAAGTACTATTTGTATATTGAGGTTGAGAAGAATGCATATACAAAAGAGTCAAACAGATAGCCAGATAGGACTTCGACTTTCAAACATTTTTAACAATAATGAGACGGGAACTCAACTGGTTGAAAGCTTACCCAAACCTTGCAGAGTGTGATAAACCAACAGACCTCTGAAACTATCACAATATACTATTGTCCACCAAGGGTGAAAGCATTAACAGTTGTTTACCATGATTCCAATACAAGAGCCAGGCAAACAGAGAATTTTTCCCTACACATAGAAAATGTTGATTCTAAAACAAAGAAGTGAAATTCAGGACATTTAAGTCTAAAAATTGACTGTATATAATTACAAAGATATACTACAAAAACATATTATAAATAAGATGTTATAGATTTTACACACCACTAAATATTCAGCAATGGGAACTATATATCACTAACTTGAGTATTGAGATGATGGAAAGTAAGATGTATTATAAACTAGCATTAGTTACATGTCTTATCAGGAAACAAACAGGATGGTATTTCAAGAAGGAATAACTGAATATACACCTATATTCCATGGTCCCTATTTAGAATATTATAGGTATGATCACTTATATCTGGAAAAAGACGTATATTTGATCCCTGAAATTACCTTAAGATTCCACCCGAGGTATGAGTCATCTCAAATACTCAAATTGTTCTATGATACATGACCGCCACCTGGCGGGCAGGTGAGAAATAGCTTATGTACACACATTTCTCAACTAGCCAATCAAGAAGCCTGGTGGGAAGGTATCTTAGAACAATGGATTAGTGGATATAAAAGCCCTTGTACCTTTAAGAAAAAAAACCTCATCAAGAAAAAGAAAGCTCATCAAAAGAAAAGACCTCATCAAAAAGAAGACCCTGACATCTGAAGAAGATCTCTGCTGAATAACTACTCTTCCATCCTTTCAAACTTCCTAAAACTTTAACTAAATTTCTAAACCTCTATCCTTATAACTTCCTACATTCTCCCATACTGAATATCTATCACTTGCCCTATAATATCATTTCTAAAGGCGTTCCACTGCCAGCTAAATCCACGGGAGAGTTGCCTAGTCTGAATGCCGGGTGCGGTGAGATTGTTTATTTGATTTTGTATTACCTATTTTCTCTGTTGTGTGGAATCATAAAATTACCTTAGTGTATCACAACAAAATTTGGGTAGTTAGATATATGTAGAGAGATCCTGTTTTACTGTTAAAAAATTGTTTGTTGCCATATTATAATTTTTTTTTTCATATTTCATAATTTATTGAATATTAATAATCAGAGTATAATATATCAAGGGCCAGCTTCTTGCAATCCTATGGCCACGGCTTGTGAGAATATAACCTTTGAGATACTCGAAATTATTAATTATTAATAAATTTAATAAATAATCAGATCATTTAAAAAGTGTGATATTGATGTAATTAGTTAGAAACCTTATTATTGTGTTTTACATTGGTAGGGATATTTTTGATTGATTGTGTGTACCAATATTCATTTATCACCAGTCTTTTGCGTTTTGTGTTATATATATATATAATTTTTGTACATAAATAAATTTTTATATTTATCTATTATAAGGCAAATTTTGTGTGTATGGTACGAAATCATATTGGCTAAAAGAATTCAAGGTATAATAATAAGTGGTGATCAAATTATCAAGGTGTCCAAATTATTGGTTTACTAAATATTTGCCGTATTTTAACGGCTGGAGGAAGCACTGTAATATTTCATCTAAGGGAAAGGGACACGCCCTTTATAAATAATATATATCCTTACATAAACCACGACAGGATGTAATGATACTGGGGGGGTCTATTGTTACTGGGTGTGGGGTCTATTGTTGCTAGTTGAAGGAAATCTATTTTACTGCTTTTCTTTTTATCATGACCAAGTTCCATACAAATTATACTGTTTTTATATATTGGTTTTGTATTCTATAAAAGGGGCTGTACTGACTTGAGGTGTAACCAAGGGATGATGCTCGGAGGTGGGTAGGGGGCGGAAACAAGGAGTGGCTCAGAAAGGGGGAGTACCTTCATCTATTATCTGAGAAAAAAAGCCCTGGGCAAGATGTAATGTAACACCAGACAATAATGGCTGTGTCCAAGATTCTTCTGTTTGTCTCACTGTGGCAACTGTAATATACATGCAATTTAGAATGACCAACACTGAAGACTTGACATGTAAAGAGTCACTAAAAACAAATCCTGGCAGATGGAATTCATACAGTATGTCTGTAACTCTTTTCTGCCAAAAATGCAGATAATTCATAGTATGTCCGTCAATATACATAGCTCCCCAGATAAAAACAGAATCAACAGAATCCATCCAACCGAAACTGATGTCAATCTTCATGAATAACTTTGTATGTAGGAAAGTAAGTATGCTGTAAAGTGGGATATCAATAGATAAGATAATGGACTATCTTCTCAATAGTATCAGACAATCAATGATATAGTAACTTCAAGCATCATGTACAGCAGTATGATTTTCATAGCAGCTAGAATGAGCGATGTGCTTGTGAACTTTGCAAAGGTAAACCATAACTATCATATGACTTTATTAACCTGAATATCACTTACTTTGCAGTGTGCCTATATTATGCCATCTGAAGTGTACCGTAGCAATGATGATTGCAGAAGCTGTTTCTTATTATAGCTTTAGATGGCCATTATATGACTATAGTGATGTTAATATATAATATTTTATGACAACCTATTGCAGTATTTGCCCTTATCAGTCTCTCCAGTAGTGCTGTGAAGACAATTCAGCATGTTATCTATTGATTCCTCACTTTACAGCATACTTACTTGTCAATATGCAAACTATTGGAGCAGATTTACAGTGGTTCAAGTTTGAAGGCATATAGTTTTTTGATTTTGGCTATGGTTGTAGAGCTATGTACAGACATGCTGCTTGGATCCCATCTGCCAGGATTTGCTTTATTAGTGGTTCTCTACATGTGAAGTGTTCAGGGCTGTTCATTCTACACTACAGTATATGTATTATATATTACGGTTTTCACAATGAGACAAGCAGAAGAGTCTTGGACATGTCCAGTATTGTCTGGTGTTACATTGCATATCATCTTGCCTTGTAATTGCTGTTTTTAGGATTCTTGATAGGTCTTCAAACTATGGCCTGTGGGACAGATGTGCCTCTTTGCCTTTTTTTATCTGCCCATTGGGGCATTATTTCTTTCATTGTTAAAAGCACATTTCCTCACATGTACACCAATGATGGGACACTCTTCTTCCCACTGACACCAACAATATAGCATTATTCCTCCCACTGATACCAACGATGAGGCACTATTCCTCCCACTAATACAAATGATGGGGCAGTGTTTACTGTCACTGATGTCAGGGCATTTTCTACTCCACTGAGTAGAAAATACTGGGCAATAAACAGGTCCTTTGTTTAGAAAGATTGGAGACAAATCCTTGGATGGAAAGTTCTGACATCATACTTAACTTTGATGAATATTTTAGGATACCTCTACAGTAGTGGTGCACCGAAATCAAAATTCTGTTACCAAAACCAAAAATTCAAAATGCACTTGGCAGAAAACCGAAAGCGAAATGCAGTTTTTAAAAATGAATATATATTTTTTGGAAAAAAAATACATTTTGATTAAAAACAGCAAAAAAAAAAAAGCCCAATGCATACCCCAATTTTTTTGTAAAATATGAAAGAGGATGTTACGGCGAGTAAATAGATAACCAACATGTCTCGCTAAATGTCATGTTAAAATTGGGTGCGCTCGTGGAATGGCGTGAAACTGCAGTACTTACAAATCTCCATGGGTGATGCTTTAAAAATTTCTACAGGTTAGCAGTGTAAAGTTCCAGAGGAGGTCTAGTGCGAGAATTATTGCTCTTGCTCTGACGTTCGTGGCGATACCTCACGTGTGTTATTTGAACACTATTTACATATATGGGCATGGCCTACATATGCGTTCACCACTACATGCGACCACAGGGGGACAGGGGGCACTTTAAACTTATTTTTTAAAATGTATTTAATTTTTTTTTTTGCACTATCCCTTTAAAAAAAATTGTAATCACTTTTATTCTTATCACAAGACATGCATACATCCCTTGTGATAGAAATAATTAGTGACAGGTAAAGGATTGAATAAAAAAAAAGCATTGATCTAGTGCTTTAAAAAAAAGAAATGGCTGGAACTGGAAGTGACATCGCTCCAGTCCTCCAAGGGCATAGAGATGAGTGGAGGCTATCTTTCCTTCACTCATCTCTGTGCCCAGCGCTGGGATCATTCAATGGTTTCTCAGGTAAGGCTGAGAAATACCGAGCGGCAGCCAGTGGCGGTGAGGGGCAGCAGTGGGAGGAGAGTTTTTTGCGGCACCTGTATCGGTGCTTTTTACCATTTTGTCCGACGACCATCTATCAGTGCCGCTTATCAGTGCCATCAGTTAGCTCCACCAGTCAGTGCCCTTCAGTGCTGCCTTTTAGTGCTCATCAGTGCCGCATATCACTGCCCATCTGTGCCCCATATGAGTGCAGCCTCTTCAGTGCCTCCTCATCAATGCCCACCAGTGCTGCCTATCTCTGCCACCTCATCAGCGCCCATCAGTGCAGTCTATCAGTGCCCATTAGTGCAGCTTCATCAACGCACATCAGTGAAGAAGAAAATTACCTATTTGCAAAATTTTATAATAGACACTAAGAAAAACTTTTTTTTTTTTCCCCAAATTTTTTTCGTTTGTACTACCAAATAAAAGCCATATTTCTGTGAAAAATGGTGGTAAAAATGTCATACGGGTACCGCGTTGTATGACTGTGCAATTGTCATTGTAAGTGCTACAGCACTGAAAGCTGAAAATTGGCCTGGGCAGGAAGGGGGTAAAAGTACCCGGTAGGCAAGTGTTTAAAATTAGCTGAATGCATAAGTAAATAATGGCATATACTGTGATACCTGAGATGCTCCCAGCAATTTTGTTTTCCATACTGAACAAGTGTTTATTACGCTCATGGACATTGGATGATGTTATTACGGCTCGTAAAGTTACTGATAGGCCCTGTTTAATCATCTGTAAGTTAATTCCTTTTTTCTTTATAGTAAGTCCATAACCTTGAGGGTTGTTCCATGCGGAATGCTATGATAAAACAGTCAGATAACTTATATTATGAAAACCTGATGAGGGAGCTATTCATATGTGGACCGTCTTTGGATGTGTCATGTAGATGACAGTTAATAAAGATTTATATCACTTACACAATCAAATTTATCCTTCATCCACAGTACAGGCACTTCTCTAAACTGCATCAGCATTCCCTTTAAATTAATGAGACATACAGCTCCAAGTACAGACTATAAAAGAAAAAAAAAAATTTTTTTTTTGCATAGTTCATTTATTAACACAAGCACATTTCTATAGCAGTTTAAATATTACTCTTGCATATTTCCTTTAGACAATGTTTAGTTTTATACAAACACATGGGTGAACAATTCTATTTTATGTTTCCACTCTTTCCACCCAATCTTAGATAACAATTACATTCACCCTTTTCCCCTTTTTTCTCTGTGAACAGCCACACCGCAGGTTGAACACTTACTTTGCTAAGTAAACTTGCTATTCCATCAGTAATTAAACTTGTAAAAAGTATGGGCCCTCAGCGGTTGACAAAAGTCATGCCATGTAGTATGTTTGATTGTCACATTATATAAGACAAATGCTTATATTTAATGGTGGCCATACATGCTTCAATAAATAATTGATTTCTTTTCCTATTGAACTCAAAAATTAATCGGCCTATAGAGGACAACGTATTTGGTTGACATGCCACACACAGGGAAGTGGATTTTGATCGATATGATGGTAATGATTATGAGTTATAGATTGCATCTCTGTTTCCATCATGTAAACTCATTATTTGATTGATATACATAAAAACACGGACCTCATTCTGTTAACTGATGCAAACCAAGCAACAATATTCTACCCTGGCAGAATCGATTTTATCTTGAGCGGAAATTAGAATTAATCTTGTCCACTTAATTGGACATCACTGGTTATTTTTCAGCTACAATTCATACTATCGTTTAGACTTTGCTTTTATTGGAAATAATACAGCTGTAGTACCTTTTTTGTCTGTAAATCAATGTATTTATGCTATTGGAATGTAATTTGCAGTTTTTGTAATAAAAACATCATTTTTTTCAGATAGGTTCCATTATGTGAGTAAGATATCATGCACACTGGATGTTTTTAGGCGAGTTTAGGCTCATCAAGTGTTTGGTCGTTAATTCATTTATTCTGGTCACTGAAATGATTGACTCTCAAACGCTAAACACACCTAGTGTCAACGGGTGTCTACACGCATATACAAGCTTCAATCGTTTTTTGTGCTGTAATGCGGCTGCTCTAGGATGTGCTGGCAATGGGTATTTTCCTACTGCTAATCTCTAGGGGCAAGGTTCAAAAAGTCCAATGTGCATGAGGCCTAATATCTAATGTCTTTATATTTTGTAGAGCTTGAGTGCAGAGTGTGATAGAAAGGCCTAATGAATATTGGAGCAAATATCATCTAAATGTTTCTTCAGTTAAAATCGCAAACTTCTGTGGTCCACCTGAGCGGAATCTCCTTGGAAAATGAATTACCAAAAAAATACAGTTACAATTTTTCTTTTTATGCCTAAAGAGTCATAAATAAATTAAACATAACAAAAATCCTGACTGTGACTTTCATAACCCATGCATGAAATGATTAAGAGGTTCTCAGTGCCATGAGGCGGAGGCAGGCATTCGGATCATGTGATTGCTGTGATTGTCAGACACAGCAGTTCACATGATCAAAAAGCACCTGACCGCAAGTATGCATTGGAGCTTTCTGGTAGAGCGGGCAGGGCAAGTTCTCTCAGCACAGAGATGTTTACATTTGGGATGCATATAGTATATGCAACCTCTTGGCATTAAAGCATACCCACCGAGAGACTGCATACAGTAGACGAGAAGAGGTTAAAGAAGTAGAAAATGAGAAAAAAAAAATCAACGACACACAACTTAATTTGGAAAAAGTTAGATTAATTCTAATTTGGAAAAGTGAAACTTGTCCATTGAAGGGACACCTTTATCATAATCAGTGGAAATCAAGCTCAGTGTTCTCCCTACTTGGAAAAAGTTTTTGAGCTGATACTTTGGAGTTCCCAATTTTGCATAATTTATAAAAAGATCAGGGCTCAGAACCAGATCACATTTACAGCCATGTATTTTCATGTTCTTTACCTTTCTTTCAAGAGCCCATGGCAAGCTGGCTCCATCTGACTCTGAATTATGTAGAATTAGGACAGAGGGTAGTGCAGTTGAATTTAGATGCTTGGATTAAAAAGCACACAAAAATACCTGTAAGATGTTGCTCACACTGCTGTTTATGTGACTCAATACAGTGCACCCTCAAAGAGCACCTGTCAGTTCGGCAACTAGTTTCTTTGGGCCAGCTTGGTCCAAACAAACATTTTAAAGGGACATTAAACATGGCATTAGGCTTTAATACAATCAAAGGTTTGCACGTTTTCTCGATTTTCAGACCCTAGAATAAATTTCAGTACAGAGATGTTTACATTTGGAATGCATATATGTAACCTCTTGGCATTAAAGTGCACCTGCTAAGAGACTGCATCTATGGATACGGTAGACAGGAAAAGGTTAAAGAAATAGAAAATGAGAAAAAAAAATCAATGGCATACAACCTGATTTAGAAAAGTGAAACCTGTTCATTAAAGTGACAATTTCATAATCAGTGGAAATCAAGATCAATTTTCTCCTTATTTGGACCAGGTTTTTGAGCTAATACTTTGGAGTTCACAATTTTGTATAATTTTAAAAAATATCAGGGCTCAGAACCAGATCAGATTTAGAGCACGTTTTCTCGATTGTAAGACCCTTCTATTAGCTAAAGCTTGACCCCCTCTGTGTGAGTGTAGTATCCCCCCCCCTCCCCCCCTCGCTTTTGATGTATCTGATCTGTAGACCTTTTTTTTTTTCTCTCAATCCCTTCTAACATTCTGCTTAAACTTTGTGATTTGTAATAGTACTGCTAGACCTTGAAGAAGGGGACATACCCCGAAAGCTTGTCCTCAAAATTGTATGTTAGTGCAAATAAAAAAAAGTATCACGGACAAGATCCTTGAATAAATTTCAGCAGAGAGATGCTTACATTTGGGCTGCATATATGCAACCTCTAAGCGTTAAAGCGCACCCGCCAAGAGACTGCATATATGCGTACAGTAGACGGGAAGAGGTTAAAGAAGTAGAAAATGAGAAAAAAATCAATGGTATACAGCCTGATTTAGAAAAGCGAAATTTGTCCATCAAAGTGGCAATTTCATAATCAGTGGAAATCAAGCTCAAGTTTCAAATTTTGGTTTTATTACTATGATAGGCAGAGCCCCACTTTACTGGGGTCCTGGAAAATGTTTACAACAAGGGAGTGTTGAGTGAAACAGTGGCAGACCCCCCCCCCCCATCCCTTTCCCTGCCATCATTATCTTTTAACATTGTGCAGTATTAAAAAGATGTAAATACCTTTGGTAAAGCTTCCAGAAGGAATCCAATAGATAAAGTGACTACCATAACAATCAGCGCAGATAAAAGACCAGCAATCTGCAATGATAAAATCAGTCAATCTTACTTCGGGTGCTGCTTTGAAGAAAATAAAAAAACTGTTTTTCTGGATACACATTATATATTTTTTAACAAATGTTACTATAATCCGGTATTGTTTAAAACCAGACTTCAGGCAAAAGAAATATTGTCCAAATACAAGAGGCATACATGTTGTTAGTTGAATTGTAATGTCCTTTGTTTATTTCTCCCATATTTGTGCAGTAATCCAGTACTCACACCTCTCTATACCCCGTACAGACCCTTTTAGTTTGATATCTTTGTCATTACTTAAGAAAAGGAAGTATACAGTATGTACCTGTGAGAAACCCCTTAAAAATGCCACAAAAGAATGGCTCAAAAAGAAGAAATGTAGAATTATGGACCTCCTTAGTCAAAGCTCTGATTTGAGTCACATTGAAAAGTTGTGTGCGACCAATGGAATTTTTCACGGGGAAGTGGTCTAAAATCTCATATAGAAAACTGATGGACAGTTATGCAAAATGCTTATAATAAGTAATTTCTGCTCAAGGGGGCAATACCCGCTTCTGATGTCAGGGGTATACTTACTTTTTCCTCAGAAAGTCATTGCATCCTTTCCAATCTATTGATATTTTCTTAAAAAGGTTGTAAAATCTGAAGGTTTTTTTACCTTCATGCATTCTACTTGCTAAAGTAAAAAAAACCTTCAATGTGCAACTCCTCCCTCAGCCCCCCCAAATACTAACCTGAGCCTGATATCGATCCAGCAATGTGAAAAACCATCGCACTAAGCAGGTAAGTATGACATATTTGTTATTTTTAAAACAAAACATATGAACCTTTAGGATCACTTGAAATGATTGAAAGGGCATTTATCAAAGGGCAAACTTCCCAGTGTTTTTATTCAACTACCTCAGCAAGGAGGTTCTTAAGAAAGGGTGTTCTTATATCCCCAAAAAGTTGTTTTTTTTTCTCCACCTCTCTTTTCACCAGGGTCTGGGTGCTGAACTCTTGTATGTATTTCTGTACATCCACTCTTATACGTTTTAAGTGTAGCTCACTGTACCTACAGTATATGCATGTATTTCTTTTTATTGGTGTTATACAACAGTGGAGTGAATATCTTTGTGTAATATGCTTGATGTGATATGACATACTTGGATATTTGGACCTATTGTATGTATCTGTATATGCCTAATACAAATACAAATGTTTAATATTATTGTACTAACAGATTGATACCGTGGAGAGGATTAAGCTTCCTAAAAAATAATTGAGTGTTGGTTGCTAAATGGTGTATTTAATAATGGTGTGCAGGTATTTTAATGTAAGCATCTACCCAGATGCCTGACCGACAGCTTGCTCAGTATCTCAGTGTGCCAATGAGAGCCTAAGCCTGCTGTTCCCATCCCCTCTGCAGCCTGATGCACCAGTGAGTGCTGGAGGGGCAGACCAGAGAGTAGGTGGCTGACAGTCACTGGCTCGCTGCTCAGTGCAGACTGAGTACTGACCAATCAGCAGTCTTTCATTGCTCACTGTGGAGGCGGTGGGGAACAGATGCAGCTGGGGGACAGATGTGGCATCGCATCGATGCTGCATCCACCTAGGTGAGTATGTGTGTCTATTTCTTTCATATCCCACACTTCTCTTTTAAGTTAATATTATCCTCTTCTGTTTTCCTACCTCCCAGAGTAATCTTTTAAGGGAATATTTATTCCAGAAACCAATGAAATAATTGAAAATGTAGGGAAGTGTATGCAATGAGGAAGAGTGTACTGTAATGCTAGAAGAATAAATATTTTGTTGTATTTCAATAAATAGAACATCAAATGAAAATACTGATTTTGCTTATGGCTTTGATTATTATTTTTAGCAACTCTTTTTTTAATTGTTTTTTTCCTTTTAAAAAAAGAGAAAGTCTACACACATTACATGGTCTGTATATTGTTCTATATAGTCAATAAAACCCATGACAACATATGGTACCTGGGATTTTCCTCCTGTACTTTCCTGGACAGCTGACCTTGACAGGGCTGTACTAACAGCAAAACCTTTGAAACAGCCACAAACTATGTTCCCTAATCCAAATGCCACTAACTCCTGAAAGAAATACACACATTTTCTTTAGTAACATTAAAACATTTAAATTTTGTTTTATATTTGATCATATAACATATCCACATTTATTGTGCCATGTAAACATAAACCACATGTTTAATTCATAACTTCAGTTGTGGGTCAGTTTTTATTGCTGCCTGCATTCCTGTTGAGATCTCCATTAATTTAATGTCCCAGGGGCCACAAACTATGGTATATGAAGCATGAAAAAACCTCCTTTATTGGGGTGCAGACCGCAGTAAATACCTGACAGGGTTCTAAACTTTTGCCATTCTAATAAATTGTCCTTTTGCTGCTTGTTTCCACCTTACTTCCTGTCTTGGTGACCACAGACCAGAGTAAAAATACAGAGCAACTTTTAAATTCAGGCAAACACCGGTACACATTTGAAATACTTTTGCTGTATGTTTACTATTTAACCATCAAAAGTATTTGCATTTCTGATCAATCAGTCTATTACACACATCTGCCACACTGCACAGCCAAGAAGACCACCTTACAACTTTTTGGATTGGCTTCCTAGATCAACGCTCTGTTTAGTACACAAAGGTAATGATACTGTTTGACTGTCCAACAAACAGACTGGAGGTGACACTGGAAACTGCTTTGCTGAGATAGGAAATAATTATATCAATTGCCCACCACTGAAGTATGCCAGGGGTGAGCAGATCACAGGATTGGCTTCATGAAATTATGAATTGTACATGTGAAACAGGAAACATATATATTTAAATTGTGGTTTAAGCTGTTTGCCTGGAGTTCAACCCTCAACAGCTTTATATCATTGTCTACTCTAAAAGGAATAAATCTCGAAAAAGAATGACCTGGTTTCCATTTATGGGGTAATCGTGTTTGATTGAGTAGACTCTGGCAACAGAAAATCCAACAGCAAAGGCCACGATAGCAATAGTGAAGCCCTCAACCATACATTCTTGAAAAACCGATATGCTTGGTGTTATGGGAGGCTGATATCTATATTTTAAAAAAAAAAACACAATGGGCATTTAAAAAGCATGTATGTGAACATGTGTGTGTGTATATATATATATATATATATATATATATATATATATATATATATACAGTTGTGTTCAAAATAATAGCAGTCAGACATCACTAACCTGATCAATCACTGTTTTTGGCAGAAATGGAAATTATATTTCTACATGACAAATAATTTACTAGCAGGTGTAGTAGAGTAATAGAAATCCAACAGACCCAACAGTCATGACATGCATGCTGCTGATTCTGTGTAATTGAATCACTAATTGAAAGGGGCATGTTCAAAATAATAGCAGTGTGGAGTTCTATTAGTGAGGTAATTCATTCTTTGAAAAACAGGTGGCAATTATTGCCCTTATTTAAGGAAGGAAGGCAGCAAATGTTGTACATGCTGGTTACAGTGCATTTCTCTCTGAAATTCTGAGGAAAATGGGTCGTTCTAGACATTGTTCAGAAGAACAGCTTACCTTAATTAAAAAGCTGACTGGAGAGGGGAAAACATATAAAGAAGTGCAGAAAATGATAGGCTGCTCAGCTAAAATGCTTTAAAATGCAAACCAAACCTGAAAGACGTGGAAGAAAGCGAAAAACTACCATTTGAATGTATAGAAGAATGGCCAAAATGGCAAGGACTCAGCCAACAATAAGCTCCAGGAAGATCAAAGAAAGTCTAAAGTTACCTGTGAGTACTGTTACAATTAGAAGACGCCTATGTGAAGCCAAGCTATCTGCAAGAAGCCCCCGCAAAGTCCCACTGTTGAAAAAAAGACGTGCTGAAGAGGTTACAATTTGCCAAAGAGCACATTGACTGGCCTAAAGAGAAATGGCGCAACATTTTGTGGACTGATGAAAGTAAGATTGTTCTTTTTGGTTCTAGTGGCCGGAGACAGTTTGTCAGACGACCCCCAAACACTGAATTCAAGCCACAGTACACTGTGAAGACAGTGAAGCATGGTTGAGCAAGCATCATGATATGGAGATGTTTTTCATACTACGGTGTTGGGCCTATTTATTGCATACCAGGGATCATGGATTAGTTTGAATACATCAGAATACTTGAAGAGGTCATGCTGCCTTATGCTGAAGAGGAAATGCCCTTGAAATGAGTGTTCCAACAAGACAACGACCCCAAACACACCAGTAAACGTGCAACATCTTGGTTCCAGACCAACAAGATTGACGTTATGGAGTGGCCAGCCCAATCCCCGGATCTTAATCCAATAGAAATCTTGTGGGGTTACATCAAAAATGCAGTTTCTGAGGCAAAACCAAGAAATAGAGAAGAACTGTGGAATGTAGTCCAATCATCCTGGGCTGGAATACCCGGTTCACAGGTGCCAGAAGTTGGTTGACTCCATGCAACACAGATGTACAGCAGTTCTCAGAAACAGTGCTTATACAACGAAATATTCATTAAGTGATTCAAAGGAAAGCAAAATCTTCAAACATTTTTCAGTTTATATAGTGAATGTTTGAGTTTGTAAAGAAGAATATAAACACTGCTATTTTTTTGAACAGTCTAATATTCACTTTTCTTCAATTTTTTTAGAGGAACAACACAAATTTGATATATTTTTTCTTCATGTTTTGATTTGGAATAGAATGCGTTTATTTCCATACACACAATGCATTTGTGTGTATGGAAATAAAAGCTATTAGGATTTTGAGCTTTATTCACTTTTTTCAAACACACTGCTATTATTTTGAACACAACTATATTTATATATATATATATATATATATATATATATATATATATACAGTCAGGTCCATAAATATTGGGACATCGACACAATTTGAACATTTTTGGCTCTATACACCACCACAATAGATTTGAAATGAAACAAACAAAATGTGCTTTAACTGCAGACTGTCAGCTTTAATTTGAGGGTATTTACATCCAAATCAGGTGAATGGTGTAGAAATTACAACAGTTTGCATATGTGCCTCCCACTTGTTAAGGGACCAAAAGTAATGGGACAATTGGCTTCTCAGCTGTTCCATGGCCAGGTGCGTGTTATTCCTTCATTATCCCAATTACAATGAGCAGATAAAAGGTCCAGAGTTCATTTCAAGTGTGCTATTTGCAGTTGGAATCTGTTGCTGTCAACTCTCAAGATGAGATCCAAAGAGCTGTCACTATCAGTGAAGCAAGCCATCATTAGCCTGAAAAAACAAAACAAACCCATCAGAGAGATAGCAAAAACATTAGGCGTGGCCAAAACAACTGTTTGGAACATTCTTAAAAAGAAGGAATGCACCTGTGAGCTCAGCAACACCAAAAGACCTGGAAGACCACGGAAAACAACTGTGGTGGATGACCGAAGAATTCTTTCCCCGGTGAAGAAAACACCCTTCACAACAGTTGGCCAGATCAAGAACACTCTCCAGGAGGTAGATGTATGTGTGTCAAAGTCAACAATCAAGAGAAGACTTTACCAGAGTGAATACAGAGGGTTCACCACAAGATGTAAACCATTGGTGAGACTCAAAAACAGGAAGGCCAGATTAGAGTTTGCCAAACAACATCTAAAAAATCCTTCACAGTTCTGGAATAACATCCTATGGACAGATGAGACCAAGATCAACTTGTACCAGAGTGATGGGAAGAGAAGAGTATGGAGAAGGAAAGGAACTGCTCATGATCCTAAGCATACTACCTCATCAGTGAAGCATGGTGGTGGTAGTGTCATGGCGTGGGCATGTATGGCTGCCAATGGAACTGATTCTCTTGTATTTATTGATGATGTGACTGCTGACAAAAGCAGCAGGATGAATTCTGAAGTGTTTCGGGCAATATAATCTGCTCATATTCAGCCAAATTCTTCACAACTCATTGGACGCCGCTTCACAGTGCAGATGGACAATAACCCAAAACATACTGCAAAAGCAACCAAAGAGGGAAGGAAGTGGAATGTTATGCAATGGCCAAGTCAATCACCTGACCTGAATCCGACTGAGCATGCATTTCACTTGCTGAAGACAAAACTGAAGGGAAAATGCCCCAAGAACAAGCAGGAACTCAGCTGCAGTTGGCAGAGCATCACCAGGGATGAAACCCAGCGTCTGGTGATGTCTATGCGTTCCAGACTGCAGGCTGTAATTGACTGCAAAGGATTTGCAAGCAAGTATAAAAGTGAAAGTTTGATTTATGATTATTATTCTGTCCCATTACTTTTGGTCCCTTAGCAAGTGGGAGGCACATATGCAAACTGTTGTAATTCCTACACCGTGCATTTTTGATGTAACCCCACAAGATTTCTATTGGATTAAGATCCGGGGATTGGGCTGGCCACTCCATAACGTCAATCTTGTTGGTCTGGAAGATGTGTTTGGGGTCGTTGTCTTGTTGGAACACTCATTTCAAGGGCATTTCCTCTTCAGCATAAGGCAGCATGACCTCTTCAAGTATTCTGATGTATTCAAACTGATCCATGATCCCTGGTATGCGATAAATAGGCCCAACACCGTAGTATGAAAAACATCTCCATATCATGATGCTTGCTCAACCATGCTTCACTGTCTTCACAGTGTACTGTGGCTTGAATTCAGTGTTTGGGGGTCGTCTGACAAACTGTCTCCGGCCACTAGAACCAAAAAGAACAATCTTACTTTCATCAGTCCACAAAATGGCCATTTCTCTTTAGGCCAGTCAATATGCTCTTTGGCAAATTGTAACCTCTTCAGCACGTCTTTTTTTCAACAGTGGGACTTTGCGGGGGCTTCTTGCAGATAGCTTGGCTTCACATAGGCGTCTTCTAATTGTAACAGTACTCACAGGTAACTTTAGACTTTCTTTGATCTTCCTGGAGCTGATTGTTGGCTGAGTCTTTGCCATTTTGGCCATTCTTCTATACATTCAAATGGTAGTTTTTCACTTTCTTCCACGTCTTTCAGGTTTGGTTTGCATTTTAAAGCATTTTAGCTGAGCAGCCTATCATTTTCTGCACTTCTTTATATGTTTTCCCCTCTCCAATCAGCTTTTTAAATTTTGAAGCTGGGTGGATGGAGCATTATGGGGTTTCACAGACACTCATTCTCCATCAGGTCTGCTCCCCTTGTGATCGACAGCCTGCTATTGGCTATATAATCTGCCTACTGCCTGTTGTCAATCACAAGGAAAAACTGGACCTGATAGGGAAAGAATGTCAAGCTTTGTCCAATGTCGCATCACTGGTTGTAGAGGCTGTCAGCTATGAAGCCAACAATGTACTTAACAAACAGTAACAGGTGTGGAGGTAAGCAGAAAGGGTAACGGCCGATAGGAAGCTTTGCAACACAGCATACAAAGACAGGCACTTTGCCTGTCTCTGTACACTGGTTTTAATTATCTCCAGTTACATTATCTACAAACTAGAGGTAATTATTTTTTTAATTTGTTGCATTGATAGTGCATAATTTGTGTGGTGAAGCCATTTATGAGGGTTTTACTTTTAATGGTCCTATCATCCCATAAGCTAAACACTAAACTGGAGAGATCTAAATAAAGCATAATATTAGTTCTCAACCCTTTTGCTGTATAATACAACCCAAGGCAAGTGTGTGTGCATGTCTTTCCCCGGTATACTTTATATATCACTGCAAACGCACTTACCCACTTTCTAATTCTCCAATTATCTGTACATGAAATTTTCTACTGAAGTCAAATGCATATGAAATGCCAGTTGCTAAAATTGTCTGTAACATAAAAATATTACATGGATTATTTAATCTTTATATATTACAAATATTTATGCATGGCCTCTATGTTCGTGGACATGCTAACAAAATGTTTTTATTTTTCATTTAAATTATACATGGAGTTACTGCCTTAAAGGAATTCTGTCATGGGAGAAATATGAGGGCTGGTCATCTGTTAGTTGACTGGTAGTTATGCATATTCTCTGGCATTACTGCTGTCTGATTAACTGACTTTGAACAAGAATTAGGAAAGTCAAAGAAATGTCTTTATCTTGCTCCAGGTTGACGATTCAAAGTCTTGTAGCCAAAGCATCAGCATGACCATCTAACAGCAGGATCGGACTGACCATTTGGAAACTTGGGCACTGCCCGAGGGCCCTGAGTCGGCAGGGGGCCCCATGAGATGCCCCAGGTACCTTTTTATAGGCTTTTTTGAGTTTGGGCAAGGACACAGGGGCCCCATGTCCCCTATTGCCCAGGGGCCGCATGAGTTGTCAGTCTGCCCCGTCTAACAGTTTAGGAAGGACAAAGGAGCAATAGCAGCCTACACACTGTTCAGTGAGAGAGGGTCATTTACACGAAGGCCTGAGGGCAACATGGAAAATACACAAATCCTTTATCCCTGGTTCAAACATATGCATGCTGAAATTGCTATATTATGAATTGCGATTTAGGAGCGTGGTTCAGTGTGAATACCATTGTTGTATATATGTATTTTATATGTATATACTTTTCTATCCATCTTGTCCTGTCCTGTGAAAACATGCATCCAATCTTGGTTTTAACCACATAGGTTATACTGGGATGATGTCTGCAGCTACAGGCATCAACCGGATATCTTTGTTTAACCAATTCAATACCGGGCACTTTTACCCCCTTCCTGCCCAGGCTATTTTTCAGGTTTCAGCGCTCTCACACTTTGAATGACAATTGCGCGGTCATACAACACTGTACCCAAACTAAAATTTTATCATTTTTATTCACACAACTAGAGCTTTCTTTTGGTGGTATTTAATCATCACCAGGGTTTTTATTGTTTGCTAAATTAACAAAAAAAGACAAAAAATTTAGAAAAACAAACACGTTTTTCTTTGTTTCTGTTATAAAAGTTTGCAAATAAATAATTGTTCTTCATAAATTTAGGCCGAGATGTATTCTACTACATGTCTTTGGTGAAAATACCCAAATTAGGATGTATTTTTTAGTTTGTAGGAAAGTTATAGAGTTCACAAACGATGGTATAGATCTGAATATTGATCATCCTGATGTACTGACAGCCAATCTAATTTCTTGTCACTTCCGGTTTTTCCGGATGTAAGCAAGCCATTACTAGTTTGGGAAAGCATAGGAACAAACCAATCTTGGTTTGATCCAATGCTTTTAAGGGCAGAGGAGAGATCTCTCCACCCAGATCTCTCAGTAAAGACTACCTGTCACTGGCCATGCTATCTATCACAAGGGATGAATAACAATAAAGTTGGTTAAAGTGGTTAAACAGGAAGAACTGGTAACTGGTGTAAGCCCAATTTATTTTGACTATAAAGATGGGGAGGGGGGGAGAGGGGCAGGGGTGAGTGATATAATGTGAGGCTGTCTTTGTGCACATAAAACTGTTGTTTGGGGCCCCAAAACTTTCAAAGTGACATTGCCTTGGATCAATGGAGCAGGATTTGTAAGGTCAGCACTAAGTCTTTTATATGTGTAGTGTATAAAGAAAACACTTATAAAATGTTGGTGTTTTGGTACAAGACCCCTGAGGTTCTCCATGCTTGCAATCTGATTGTTTCTCCTGTCTGCTTACAATATTGTGAGGAAACTGACTCCCGTTTCCACATTTTCTGGTCTTGCCAACACATTGCACTTTTCTGGAGAGAGGTCCTTAGCCTGTTGCAGCTACAGGCTCATATTTTATTTGAGCCCATCTACTTTTTACTGGGCCTACCTTTTCCAGGCCTCTCCAAATTTGCCAAGAAGCTATCCTCTCATATTTTAACAACAGCCAGGAGAACCATTCCTATGCATTGGCTATCTACTACACCTCCTATGCTGTCAGAACTGGTGAAGGTTAAAGCAGAAATGAGAAGAATGGAGTACCTCACTGCTATGCATGTGAACTCTGTCCCCATCTTTGAAGCAGTTTGTAAACGGTTGGATCTTTCCATTTCCGATTCGTCCACTCAATTGTCTGTAAATGCTAACTGATTCACTGTTTGCACTGACATTGTATGTACGGTATCTATTTGCCTTTCATTGATGAGCCTATCTCTCTTTGTTCTTTTATTTGATTTGTGATTGTTATTTCGCAATTCTATGCAACTCTGTTTGTTGTAAGCTCTTTAAAATTCTATAAAAAGTAAATTATACTGTTATTGTTTGGAGTTTGCTACTTGCTAGTGATAAATATTACCTGAATACAAGAAATGTTAAAAATCCATTTTTTATCTACTGCTTCTCTACATATTCATTGTAATGTTTGCCATTAAAGTGCTTACCATTATAAGCTCAACAGGAATGGGAAACGGTATTTTCATCTGATATCGATCATTCATTTCTTTGACAATAAGGACCACGACCATAATGATAATTGATGTAGTAAGGTCAACAATGTTTGTATTATTTATCTTCTGGAAGATGTCCTCTAGTGTCTACAGTAACGGAATGATATTAACATATATCAGCTTGTTTAACGGGGGTATTTTGGACCTTCTATGTGAAAAAATACAAATGAAAGCATAAAGATACTCACAAAAAACAGTGACAAAGGTCCACTGAAGTTTGATATCTTTATTCCAAGTACAAACTTAAGTTGGGACACCAGAACATGTATAGCAGCTGCTGTAGTAAAACCACTTATGAGAGGATCTGACAGGTAGATAACTATAAACCCTGCTTGTAACAATCCAAATGCCAGCTGTAAGAAAACAAGGAAGCAGTAGTCAGCATAATTTCCCTTTTTTTCAATTGTCATATGTTTATATTTTTATATTCTTCCCTTTTGATATTTGTAGCCTCCACCTGATGTCTAAAGAGATTACTCCAGCTACTATTAGTGACATCCAAATTTTCCAGTGATCTCACACATAAGCACCTAATTGTGTAAATTATATTTTAGGGCATGTTTACACTACATGTTTTGGGATGAGTTTGTCAATACAGTCCTAACATATGGACAAGACAAAAGCCTTGTTTTGTATTGTCACTGTTCACATTACGCTGGAGTGCCCTGCAAAAAAAAAATGAGGCAGGCAGCAGCATTTTTATCACATTGCAGCCCATGTTAGATAAAAAGAAGGTACTGTGAATAAGAAATAATTACAAATTCACCGCAGCATATGACGAGAACACGCTACATCACACACCCAATATGTACTACAGTGCACATTGGCAGCACATATCAATGTATATACATAGTTACATAGTTAGTCTGGTTGAAAAAAGACACAAGCCCATCTAGTTCAACCAATAAAAAGAAATACATTTTTTTTTAAACAATCCTATATACACAATCCACAGTTGATCCAGATGAAGGCAAAAAACCCAACAAAGCATGATCCAAATTGCTCCAGCAGGGGAAAAAAATTCCTTCCTGATCTCCCAAGAGGCAATCGGATATTCCCTGGATCAACTTTGCCTATACAGTTGCAAGAAAAAGTATGTGAACCCCTTGGGATTACGTGGAGTTTTGCATGAATTGGGCATAAAATGTGCTCTGAACGGCATCTAAGTCACAACAATAGAAGAACACAGTCTGCTGAAGATAATACTACACAAATATTAGATGTTGCCATGGTTTAATTGCACATAACATGTAAACATTCACAGTGCAGGGAGGAAAAAGTATGTGAAGCCCTAGCTTAATGACTTCTCCCAGAGCTAATTGGAGCCAGGAGTGAGCCAACTTTGACTCCAATCAGTGTGATGATATTGGATGTGTTGCTGACAGCTGTCCTGCCCTTAAAAAAAACACACACCTGTTTTGGGTTTACTGGTTTCAAGAAGCACTGTCTGATGTGAACCATGCCTCGCAGAAAAGAGCTATCAGAAGACCTACGATCAAGAATTGCTGACTTGCATGAAGCTGGAAAGGGTTACAAAAGTATCTCCAAAAGCCTTGATGTTCATGTATCCACGGTAAGACAGACTGTCTACAAATGGAGAAAGTTTAGCACTGTTGCTACTCTCCCTAGGCATGGTCGTCCTGTAAAAATGACTGCAAGAGCACAGCGCAGAATGCTGCATGAGGTAAAGAAGAATCCCAGAGTGTCAGCTAAAGACCTACAGAAATCTCTGGCACATACTAACATTTTTGTTGACACATCTACAATAAGGAAAACATTAAACAAGAATGGAGTACATGGGAGGACACCACAGAGGAAGCCATTGCTGTCCAAAAAGAATATTGCAGTACGTTTGAAGTATGCAAAAGAGCACCTGGATGTTCCACAGCACTACTGGCAAAATATACTGTGGACAGATGAAACCAAGATTCAGTTGTTTGGGAAGAACACACAACACTATGTGTGGAGAAAAAAAGGCACAGCACACCAACATCAAAACCTCATCCCCATTGTAAAACATGGCGGAGGGAGCATCATGGTTTGGGGCTGCTTTGCTGCCCCAGGGCCTGGATGGATTGTTGTCATTGATGGGAAAATGAATTCCAGAGTTTATCAAGACATTTTTGCAGGAAAACGTACGACCATCTGTCCGCCAACTGAAGCTCTGCAGAGGATGGGTGAGGCAACAGGACAATGACCCAAAGCATACAAGTAATTCAACAAACCAATGGCTGCAACAGCACAGAATACGCCTTCTGGAGTGGCCCAGTCAGAGTCCTGACCTCAACCCGATTGAAATGCTGTGGCATGACCTTAAGAGAGCGATTCACACCAGACATCCCAAGAATATTGCTACACTGAAACAGTTTTGTGAAGAGGAGTGGTCCAAAATTACTCCAGATCGTTGTGCAGGTCTGATCTGCAACTACAGGAAACGTTTGGTTGAGGTTATTGCTGCCAAAGGAGGGTCAACCAGTTATTAAGTCCAAAGGTTCACATACTTTTTCCTCCCTGCACTGTGAATGTTTACATGTTATGTGCAATTAAACCATGGCAACATCTAATGTTTGTGTAGTATTATGTTCAGCAGACAGTGTTCTTCTATTGTTGTGACTTAGATGACGTTCAGAGCACATTTTATGCCCAATTCATGCAAAACTCCACGTAATCCAAGGGGTTCACATACTTTTTCTTGCAACTGTAAATGTTAGTATCCAGTTATAACATGTGCATTTAAGAAAGAATTCAGGCCTTTTTTAAAACAATCTACTGAGCTGGCCAGAACCAGCTCTTGGGGGAGTCTTGTCCACATTTTCACAGCTCTTACTGTGAAGAAATTTCCATATTTGGAGATTAAATCTCTTTTCCTCCAGACATAAAAAGTGCCCCCTTGTCCTATGTGATGACCTTAAAGTGGTTGTAAAGGCTGATGTTTTTTTTACGTTCATGCATTTTGTTCATGAAGATAAAAAACCTTCTCTGTGCAGCAGCCCCCCTAAGCCCCCTCTCGATCCAGCAATGTGTACTGGAGTCTCAGCTATCCTGACTCCCTTTCCTTATTGGCGGAGACAGCATTGGTTCCCACTGCTATCAATGAGAAGAAAGAGGGGCAGTGTCGAGCCACAGCTCTGTGTGTGAATGGACACATGGAGCAGCGGCATGGACCCGCACCTGTTCAGGTGCCCTCATAACAAGCAGCTTGCTACAACGGCACCCAACAGGAGGGAGGGGCCCGGCGGGGGAACCGAGAGGAGGGGGATTAGGGCTGCTCTGTGCAAAACCACTGCACAGAGTAGATAAGTATAACGTGTTTGATATTTAAAAAAAAAAGCCTTTAGTACCACTTTAAAGTGAATAACTCTTCACCAACTTCACTATATGGGCCACTTATGTATTTATACGTATTGACCGAATCCGCCCTTAATCTCCTCTTCACAAGAGAGAAAACAATTCAGTTCCTCGAATCTTTCCTCATAGCTGAGCTCCTCCATGCCTCGTATCAGTTTGGTTGCCCTTCTCTGTACTTTCTCCAGTTCCCCAATGTTCTTTTTGTGAATTGGTGCCCAAAACTGAACTGCATATTCCAGATGTATCCAGGCAGATAGATAGATGTCCCCATGATGCCCCATAGTTATGTTACAGTGTATGAGGTGTACTACACTTCAATGTCCAAAATCTAAAGTTATGAAAATGTGGGTCATAGTTCTTTTAAATCCTCCAGCTGTATTATTCAAGCAATAAACAATATTTATTAATATGTCTCCAAATAGGATATTTTAACATAGAACTATACTGTTGTTGTGCTTTGTAGTTGGTATGGCAATTTATTTTTGTTAAGCATTTGTTACAGTACTGATGCTGTAATATTGATCAGTCTGCTATTTCTTATTGTTTTGTAGCTATTTCAGTCAGATATAGAGTATGTTTGAGCTTAGGAGCATGATGGCTAGATTCAATGAATAATAAGAGCCATAGCTGCCTATGCAGAGCCTTGCGGAAAGAGAGGCCCCTTTACGGAGGCTGTTGAGCCAAACAAAAAACATAGAAACCTTGTGACGTTTCTAGCCTAAAAAGTCAATGGAAGTCAGTCACACAGGAAGAAATTTTAGAATTGTGTTGCTAGCCACAGATCCCCCTTTGCTGGTTATGCAGTAATGAGATTTTGTTTAAGTGTCTTACTAGTATGCATTTATTGCCCTCAGAGCCTTTGGTCATCCTGGCCACTGACATGAACCCTGTATGTCTAACATAGTCTTTCTCGGTCTGTAAAAATCTCAGAGTGTCTCCACAGATAGAAAAAATAAGACCACTGAGGTTTGCCAAAGAAGACAGCATTTTTTGTGTGCTGGGGCATTATCAATTATGTTATAAACTAAAATAATATAAAATATTATACTTTGTAATTATATAAAATATTAAGATGGTCATTATTACAACTAACGCACTAGCTTGCTGGAATTGGTGGGAAGATTTAAGCAGTCCATAGATGACTCGATTCCCCCATCCACAACCCCGATGTAGATAAGGGAATCCTCCTGCTGACCTATTGTATTCTGAAAGCGGGGAGACTTCCTTGCCCTTAGAATATACTGACTATAGCCTGCAGTGCCGATCAAGTGAGAAAATAATGACAGGGCGGTTGTGCAGATGTTGACCAGTAGATCATCTTTTGTACAACCATATGTCCATGCATGCATCAAAATTCAAAACGTTGATCCATGTATGGCTGACTTTGCAATGTACACTAAGGCCCTAAAATCTGAAATGCTGAAAAAAGTGCTATGTTATTGCTGTCTCAACCCCCATTCCCTGATAACTTCTATCCACAGCACTGATCTGTATAGTGTGCCGACTATGTTGACAGCAATCCTGATACCTGCCTCTGATATTGGCATGCTTTATGATAAAATCAGATGCCACTGAGAAAAGTCACCAGGGATCTCCACCAACATTTTGCTATGGGGTCCCATGATCTGTAGTTACACCTCTGGCCGGATAGATGGGATAAGTGCTTTAGAAAATCTTCTACGTTTTCTTTGTAGCTGTGTGTGTCCACTTCCAACTCCTAAAATGACAGTCCCAATTATCACCTCCTTTCACTTCTCTCTTTTGTAACCCAAAAAGTGTCATAAGAATTCATAGAAATTAAAAAAATGGATTCAATGTGTTTAATGTAGGGTCGGCATGGAGCTTTGCCAACCAGTGAGACATTTGCAACAGATTCCCAAGAAGGGGGTATGGTTGTTTTGTGATTCTCTAGCCAGATTTACTGATGTTTGAACTTAATGGACATGGGTCTTTTTTTCAATTGAAATGGACATGGGTTGTTTTTCATCTTTCTTTTTAATTAATTAATAAAGATATGCACCACAGAAAATGTTGTTTTCTACTTTGATTTCTTTGTTAAATTAATAATTTAATTTTGTCATATTCACTATGTTAGAATGATTTGTTTTTGTAATTCATTTCATATATTGGGATTCGTTTCATATATTCATTATTTTCAAATCTATTCAAAATTCAAACTTGAATTTCAGAAGATGGCTATATGCATTCTATTCTGTTTTAATCTATTTTTTCTATTCTATTCTTTAATTTTCTATTCTATTATTTTATTTTTTATTTTATTCTATTTTATTCTGAATTATTCTGTACCTTTATTTTTTGTATTATTTTGTTCTATTCTGTTTACTTCTATTTTTTTTTTATTCCATTCCTTTCTTTCCTATTCTGTTTTATTTTATTTTATTCTACTTTATTCTATTTTTCATTTTCTATTTTATGCTATTCTTTTAATTTCTATTCTATTATGTTTAATTCTACTCTATTCTATTCCTTTATTTTCTATTCTATTTTATTCTGTGTTATTCTATTCTTTTATATTCTATTTTATTCTATTCTATCTGTTTTATTCTATTTTATTCTATTATTTTATATTATATAAAGCAGCCTAAGTAAGAATCATCATCTTATTTCACTTTTATACCTTACTGTATTTATTGCATTATGCTTCCATTTCGAATTTGAATTCATTTTCAAATTCAGATCATTTGTTTCAGTATAATTTATTTTGGATCTGTTGAAATACTTTACTAATGTGATTTGGAAATTCTAATACATCTGAATCTCTGAATACTAAAAATGTCATCCGAATTTCAGTTTGTAATGAAACAAATCACACATCTATTAATTAATTTGTGCCAATGTAGCTGTAAAGAATCTGACTGTATGTAAAACCTTTCCCTGAGCTTTTTCCTATTATTTGCTAGCCTGTGCATCATTGTTACTGTCCTCTTCTCAACTGTGTCTAGTTTGAAGTTATATAAGGATGTCTCCACTCAGAAATTACTGCAGCATTGTATGAATTGTATGCCAAGCCATAAGTAAATGTAGCCCAATACACTTGTTACCCATGACAATGGTCTCCATAGTTATAGGTCTTGTGCACTGCATTATGAATGATTCAGCTACCTTGTGTACATAGGTGTATGTTAATTTCCATGGTAGATGTCTGGGGGAAAATATCTCCAGTCTGAAAAGCTGGGATTCCCCTACTGCAGGCAGCGTTGCCATGAAGACATCAGCACTGCCTGGTTAGAACTACCTAAGGAAGTGAGATGACCACTCACCAAACACATGCAAAACCTGGCCTTCAGGAAAAAAATATTGAATCTAGAGTAGAAATCCATGTAGGTGTAATATCTGGACCATATTTTTCTCAGTGGCACTTATTAATAGTAGACTAAATCTGTCTCTCACTCTCTTCAACCTCTTCCCACTCATACTTGGTTTGCTCAATTTCTGAGAAGAACTCCTTCAACTGTTAGGGACTGTTTATGATTTGTGTGGACTTTTAGTTACCTAGCAGATTTTTTTGTGTTCTGAGATCCCACTTTTAAGCATGGTTACCTTCCTGGCTGGTGTAGTAGTTCTGTTGTTGTCTGAACATTAGCTGCCATGGCCTTCTTTTTGTATCACTATTTAACCTAAATACCATCTGCTACAACCTCTACCTCTTTTTGGATAGCTTTTTGCCTGTTGAGTCAGTTCAGTAGAATGCCACCCAGTGTCATGGAGTTTGGAGTCAGGCTTAGTGTTCAGTAGCTATAGCAGTAGAATGGTTCCAACTGACCAGCAGGACAGGCATACAAGCAGGTCACCCTGGCAGATGACGCAGGCTCACCCTTGGTGCAGGGTCTAAGTACTAACTGGTATTCACAAGAGCTCCTGATGGTGATGATGGGTTTTGTTGCATGTTAGTATGATTGTCCCACCAGCAGCTGAGCAGGAAGGGATCAAGTAGAAGCATAGTCAGTAAACAAGCCAGAGGTCGGTAACAAGTGGTTGCAAGTTGGGATCAAGCAGAAGTGTATGTCAAGGAACAAGCCAAAAGTCAGTAACGAGTGGTAGCAAAGGTACAGACAGCAGCAGGAGTGACTGGAGAGAGATATTGGCTGGGGAGAGAGAACAATAATCTGGAAAACAGGAAGTGCAGAGGTATGGCTTCAATCAGGAATTTAATTGGATTAGCAAAGAGTTCAAGGTTCACAAAAAACAAGATGCAAGGCACGGTCAGAAAAGAGCTGTCCAGCACCTCAGGAGGCTCTGCAAGAAGAGTCACTGCCAGACACAGCAGAGGTCCTGAGTTCAGATCCAGACTCTAACATCCAGCTAAGACCAGTAGAGGATGGTGTGATGTGGGATTGTCAAACCCAAAGCAACTGGTCCCTTTAAAGGAAAGACACCCTTTAGACTCTTCACCTCAGGGGTTCCTATGCCTACTACTGATGACACAGGGGAACCAATGCTCTGGCATTCTCTATAGTTTAGGGCCATAAATATACCTAATTTGTTTTAGACAATGGATGGTCTAAAATGGTTTTATTTTAGACATGGTAATGTTTAACAAATATTTCACATCCTTAAAGCGGAGTTCCATCCAAAAGGGAAAGCTCCGCTTTAATGGTTTGTCCCCCGCTCCCCATTAAGGATTGGCAGCTTTTGGGAGCGGGTACCCGAATTTGACAGGTACCTGCTCCCACTTCCGCTGCGATCACCTAGGTGATTGGAAGCGGATGTTGTCCTCCATCCCTCACCGTAGTCTTCTGGGACATGTGAAAGGTCCCACAAGACTACAGGGCCATTCACAAAGCACAGTGCTTCTCGCACATGTGCAGTGGGCACCCAGCTGTGAAGCCGCAAACTGTCAAAGCCGGGTGCCCACATTAAAGATGCAGGCGCCAGAGAGAGAAATGCTGGTGAAACCAGTGGTGGTGAGGACACCGCTGGACTGAGGGAGAGGTAAATGGCTGTATTTTAAAAGTCAGCAGCTACAGACTCACTCAATGACACATTTACTGGTACAATGTCATAAAATACTTTGTGCTACATGAGCAGGATGCTGACCTGGAATATACCAACAAGTACTGTGACAGATGCAGCAACAAGAACTCTTTGTTCAGCAATTGTCAATTCATCTGTGTCATTTAATACGTTATAATTCACTGTTCCATCCTCATCGACAGGATCTGGGACTAACCTCATCACAGCTGACCCAACCATCAAGCTTAACACAGGGAATGGACCTAGAAGAGATAAAAACAATTACATAGTTACATAAATATACAGACTTATGTAATATGTTGTCATGTTATAAACAAAGAATGATCATTTTTATAGAACAATTTTACTTACCAACAGAGATATGTTTAGATGTTCCAAAGAAAATATATATTATTGTGGGATAAAAAGCAGAATAGAGTCCATAAGCTGGGGAAACGTTTACTAGAAGAGCGAATGCCAAGCCTAGAAAACAGAAATCAACATATCCCAGTATGTGTTTTCTCTTTTCAACAAACATACATACACTAAACTATGCAAGTTCCTTAAATACTAACTCCACTTTTCTTGAGAAAGCATAATCCCTTTAGGTGATCAATGTACATTGCAGGGATTTTACCAAACTTTGCGTCAGATTTGTACTTTTTGTTGCTCTGAGGAACTCTATTTGTTTCATCATGTCCTAAGCATACTGAATCTAATTGGAAAGGTCTGGTTTATTATAATAAAATGGTGCATTCTCAGTGTTCTAATGAGAAAAGCAGCGGGGTATGCATCCTTTCAAGTATTTAGCCCTTGGGGGGTATTTCACCAAAACTGAAATTCCTATTGCAGAGGATGCCTAAAAATGTGACTTTGACTTGAATTGGATCCTATGTAGACTTCTGGGACAATCAGTGAGCCAATCACACACAAGCAGAAATTTATATTTCTGGGGTGGAGTGCGTGTGTGTTTATGTGTGTTTCTGTACACCAACTGTGTGGACAAGCACTTCTCCTCCCTCTTTACATCCTGGCTTTCAGCATTGCCGCCAAGAGAAATGGAATTTCTCCTTCCTGGGTCTTTGACTGTGCAGCTCTCCCCTCCCAGTGATGCAAACTTTTTACCACACTTCTGTCTAAAATGGTTGCCAAAATCATGTAGAAGTTCGGTGTCTAACTGTGACACAGACATCCCTAAGATGGCACCTGGAGCCCACTGCAGAGGACACATTAAAGGAGAAGTAGGGCCAAAGCTTTTTCAGTCCTACATCTCCAATGGATCGCAGTCTCACTCAGCCAGTCTCGGCTCTAGAATGGTCCCGATCCCCCCAGATTCCTACAGCGGCAGCTGACTATGCCCCTCCAAAGTCACCATTTCTCTGCTCACTAAAGACTGGGAACTGAGCAACCACTGCTATCCCTAACATCCAGGAGGTGAGGGTAGTGCAGGAAGGCCTAGACGGTTGGTGGTAATGGGGAATTCTATAATCAGAAGGACTGATAGCATAATGTGTCCCCAGAATCGCCTCAACCGAATGGTGCCAAAGTTCGGCATGTGGTGGACCGGGTTGATAAATTACTGAAAGGGGCTGGGCATGACCCAACTGTCTTGGTCCATGTTGAAACCAATGACAGAATACATGGAAGGTGGAGACTCCTTAAGAATCAATTTAAAGAACTAGGCTGCAAGTTGAAGGGATGGACCTCCAAGGTGATATTCTCTGAAATATTGCCTGTGCAATGTGCAGCACAGGAACTACAGGGGAAGATTAGGGAACTGAATGCATTGCATTGCATTCAAGGCTTGGTGTAAGAGGGAAGGATTTGGGTTTCTAGAGTTCTAGGCTGACATTTCATTGGAGTAAAACATATATGCTAAAGAAGGTTTGTACCTAAATAGAATGGGGTGTGCTGTGCTGATTGATATGTTTATGGGAAGGTAGGGAGAGTATTTAAATTAGGATTGAGGGGGGAGGGAGAATTAGATTAGAAAGGGGCAGGCAGGTCAAACAGGGGTTAATCCCTGTTGGTGGGTGGAATGGGGAAAGATGGGGGAGGACTATGGCAAGTGATAAGAATGTTCCCATGTTACAAACAACCATTGGAAATGGTACTCTTTGTACTAAAAAAAAGCAAAATGCGTGTGAAAAATTTGAAAATTCACGAAAGTATTTGTTCATCAATGTCAGAAGTCTACCAAGCAAAATAGGTGAGTTAAAAGCTTTGATGCATGAAAAAAACTATGATTTAATTGGTATTGTTGAGTCTTGGCCTCATTCTTCACAAGACCGAGTTATTAATATTCATAGCTATGCTCTCTTTCCGAGAGACAGGGTAAAAAGGAAAGGTGGTGGTGTCTGTCTCTATGTGAGAAGTGATCTTAAAATGTGTGTGAAAGAGGACCTAGCTGATGAATGTGATGAGGCTGAAGCATTATGGGTGGAACTGAACATGTGGGTGTGTACTACAAATGTAATCATTGGGAGTTTGGTATAGGCCAAAAATGAGGAGGTGGAAACTCAGCTCCTTGCACAGATAGAAAGGGCTGCAAGGGCTGACACAGTGAAAATAACGGGGGATTTTAACTACTCGGAAATTGACAGGAGAAATGGTACTGCAGGAACAATTAATGGGCAAAAATGTTATAAGACATTTTATAGCACAGTTCATAGAGGCCCCAGCTAGGATAGATGCTCTGTTGGACCTGGTAATCTCAAACCATGCAGAGCTTATTACTAATGTACATATAAAAGAACATTTTGGTAGCAGTGACCATAATGTTAGCTGTAAACAACAAGCACATACTGGAAAGATAAAAACACTAAACTTTAGGAGAGCAAATTTTCCAAGGATGAGGGCTGCTCTCCAAGACTTAGACTAAGAAGGAATATTGGCATCAAGGAACACAGAACAGAAATGGGAATTCTTCAAAAAGACTGTATGCAGACACACTGCAAATTAGATTCCCATGAGCAATACGTTTAAAAGGCTAAATATAAAATCTGGCACACGGCCAAAGTTAAAAAAGCTATAGATAATAAGAAAGGAGCTTTTAAATAATATAAAAATTAAGGAACATATCATCATTTAATTGTTACAAGGAACATAACATAGTATGCAAAAAGGAAATAGGGCCTCAAAAATTCAAAATGAGCTACAGGAAGTAGGACAAATCCCCAAACATTCTTCAAATATATTAATAGTAAAAAGGTCCAGTCCGCGCATGTAGGCCCTTTACAAAATAATCTGGAGTGGGTGACTGGGGACAAAGAGATGCCAAATGTATTAAATACCTTATTTATCTCTGTGTATACAAAGGAGCATGGGGGAGCCATGTCCATAATGGTGATGATATGACACAGCTCCAAATGATCCACAATGGTTCAAAATTGATATAGTTCAGACATATTTGGACAGAATAAAACTTAATAAAGCACCTGGACCAGATGGCATGCACCCATTCCTAAAAGGATTGAGCTCTGTCATTTCAAAGCCATTGCCTCTAATTTTAGGGACTCTTTCATTACTGGCATAGTACCACTGAAATGGTGTAAGGCCAATATGGTGCCCTATATTTAAAAAAGGATCAAAGTATTTACCAAATAACTATAGACCAGTTAGCTCAACATCTATAGTTGGGAAGATACTGGAGAGTTTAATAAAAGACCACATAGGTGAGTTCTTGCTGGAAAAAAATATTTTAAGCAACAGACAGCATGGATTCATGAAAAACAGAAGTTGTCAAACAAATGTGATTTCTTTTTATGAGGAGGTAATCAAAACCTTAGACAAAGTAGTGACTGTGGATTTTACAAAACCACTTGACACAGTTCCTCACACACAGCTAATGTGTAAGGTAAAGTCTATAGGCTTGGAAAAATCAGTTTGAAAATGTAGAGAAAACTGGCTAAAAGATCGTATTCAGAGAGTAGTGGTTAAGAATTCATACTCTGAATGGTCTAGGGTTGTCAGTGGTGTACCCCAAGGTTCAGTGTTGGGACCCTTACTTTTTAATATATTTATAAATGATATAGGGTCTGGGATTAAAAGTACCATTTCAGCCTTTGCAGATGACACCAAGCTACGCAGGGGAATAACATCCTTACAGGATGTCTCCAATTTACAAGCTGACCTCAATGCACTGTTTAATTGGGCAACTATGTAGCAAATGAAGTTTAATGTAGATAATGCACTTGAGGGCTAAGAATATGCATGCATCAAACATACCAGGGGGAGTACTACTGGGGCAATCTTAGGTGGAGAAGGATCTGGGTGGTCTGGTAGATCATAGGCTTAATGATGGCACACAATGCCAGGTTTCCAAAGCGAGCAAAATCCTTTCTTGTATTAAAGAGGTATAGACTGTAGAGATATAATTTTGTCCCTGTACAAATCATTGGTAATACCTCATCTGGAATATGCAGTTCAGTTTTGGGCACCAATTCACAAAAAGGATATCAGGGAACTGGAGAAAGTGCAGAGAAGGACAACCAAATTGATAAGAGGCATGGAGGAGCTCAGCTATGAGGAAAGGCTAGAGAAACTGAATTTATTCTCTCTTGAGAAGAGGAGATTAAGGGGGATATGATCACCATGTATAAATACATAAGTGGTCCATATGGTGAACTTGGTGTAGAGTTATTCACTTTAAGGTCATCAAAGAGGACAAGGTGGCACTCTTTATGTCTGGAGGAAAAGAGATTTATTCTCCAAATACGGTAAGAGTGGTAAACATTTGTCATAGACTCCCTCAATAGCTGGTTATGGCCAGTTCAGTATATTGCTTTAAAAAAGGTCTGGATTCTTTCCTAAATACACATAATATAACTGGATACTAACATTTATAGGTAAAGTTGATCCAGGAAATATCTGATAGCCTCTTGGGGGATCAGGATAGAATTTTTCCCCCTGCTGGAGAAACTTGGATCATGCTTTGCTGGGGGGGGGGGGGGGGGGGGGGGTTGCCTTCCTCTGGATGTATAGGATTGTGTATATGGGATTGTACATTTTTTTAATTTCCTATTTATTGGTTGAGCTAGATGGTCTTTTTTCAACCAGACTAACAATGTAACTCCTGTATGTGACCAGCAGTGTTTGATTGCTCAAGTCTTGTTTTTTTTTTAATGAAAACCATACTTTTTGGCCAGATCAAATAAATACAGAAATATAGAAAATAAATTATAGAAATTATGTTAACTGTGATAACTACAGCCTTTTCAGCCAGTGAACTGACTGAATTGATCTCACATCTGATGCAATATGCATATACTGTAGGCAATATAAAATAATGGGAAAATATACATTAATATATAAATATGTGCTTAATGTTACCTTGTAAAACAGACACCATTCCTGTACTGATGCCAGAGATCGTATCACTTAGGAGCCATTCCTTCAGATTATATATGGGTAGCCAAGCAGCAATTGGTATCAATTTAAATATAATTCTCTTTACTGTACCAGTGTGGCACCTGTATGAAAATAAATAAATGCATATATTCATGAATAAAAATGAGCTCACTACTAAAATATTTGCATTATTTTGGTTTCTAATTGCCATTCAACAGCTAAATACACTGTTAAAATGTATACTGTATGTAACACTACACCCTTAGGAGTTGCTGAAGTTTGAGTCCTCCTATAGTCCCGCACAGCCAGGCAACCCGCATTTCCTTCACTCAGACTTGCATCCAGGAGACAGTAACCAGTCCTTGAACTTGTTTTTTGAGGGGGTGATTTCATTGGGGGATTTACCTTGGATGGGGTAAGGGGTGTATGGGATGCCCAAGGGTAATGGCAACAGAGAACAAACTCGTTAGCAACTATGTCCAAGTATTTACAGCAAAAATTCTTCGAAAGAGCTAGCCATCATCTCCTGTTGTACCAGGCCCTAAATTAATCCTCTCCTCATCCAGCTGTACTGGGTGAATCCCTGTGCCTGCCACTCAAGTATGAAACAAACAGTCATGGGTAAGAAAGCTAATCCAGCTTCCCACTAGAGTGCCTCTTTCCCCTTACTGGCCCAGAGGGTGCACGTCTACTCACTCAGTCCTTCTTCTGTGCTGCTGATGGATTGGTGGCTGCTACCAGGCCTTCTAGCTGTGCCACTCCTTCCCTGCTGCACAGGTGGTCCTTGCTCTGGGGGTCTGTGAGGTCCTGAGCTTTCCTCCCTCCAAGGTCCTCTGCCTGTAGGTGAGCCCCTTTCTATCTGGACCCCCTCCCAGGCTCTTGCTTTCCAGCCTTACTTCCTTTCCATCTTCTACCCGAACGCTCCTGCTGCTGAGCAGATTTGTCACTTTTAAGGGCTGTCCTGGTCCCATGCTAAGCCTCCTGTTGGGGATTGGCCAGGACCCCCCAAAAGTAAAGCTCAGCCACTCCTCACCTCCGCCCACTACTTCTAGAACTTTCTCCAAAGATCCAGAACAGGGGGAATTCTCAGAAAGCTGGTCTGCATAGTCTCTCTGCCCTGACCTGAATGTGACCTCCCTCTGACTATTACATAGGCTGCTACTCAGCCTCTGTCTAACAATTGAAGGTTTATCTACCCATATCTACCTAGGAGGGTGCTACATGTATATGGGAGCTGTTTTATCTGCCAAGTGATTTGCATCTCTGTCCATTCAGTCTTGAGATTTACACAGCCCTGTCAGACAGCACAGCCAGATTGGTAACCTCACTTTTCTCAGTTGCAGATAAGTATTACCTACTCCTAGCCTGAGACTGGAAAGAGAAGCAGCAGTCTGATGAATTCAACCATCTGGTCTCTATGACATAATACGTCATTTTTTTAAAAATAATTACATAACTGAATTAATTTGCCTACAGTACAGACTTAACTTTACCCCTACACCAAAAATAACAGCAACTAGAAAGTAAACAGCACAAACCATCAAAATTCCTTCCATGCATATAATTACCAAAAAAAATGTATACATACCTTGGACATTCAGACACATCTATGGTTTTGTGACATCTGGACTGCAGATATTGTGCACTGGGGCTGTGCAGCTGCTTTGTCTGCATCTACTTCTATAGTCTGCTTGCACACAACTCGGGGTGGATGCAGACACCAAAACAAAGGCAGTTTGCACAGAGTATGGTGCCCCTCTGAATGAGGCCTTATTTATTTATTGCAGGTACTTATATAGTGCTGTCAATTTACGCAGCTCTTTACATATGTATTGTACATTTACATCAGTCCCTAACCCTCAAGGGGTGTACAATCTAAGGTCCTTAACTTACATTCATACATACACATACTAGGGCCAATTTAGACAGGATCCAATTAACCTAACAGCACATCTTTGGAGTGTGGGAGGAAACCGGAGTACCTGGAGGAAAACACGCACAGGGAGAAGATACAAACTCCAGGCAGGTGGTGCCATGGTTGGGATTCGAACCAACGACCCTAGTACTGCCAGGCAGAAGTGCTAACCTTAATATTTAAGTATGACTAAGCTCAAGAGCTTTTGCAAGTGCTGCACATGTTATAGGAAATTTCTCCAAAGCCCAACTCCAGGTATTAGAGAAGAAACCTTTTTTATTTACCTTACCCCTGTTCAGAGTGGCTCCAGCACTCCTCTTCTCCCTTTTTGCGATCTGGGCTATGGGTGTTCCTTCAGCGTCATCACATACAATGCAGGGCTATTAACCCTGTATTGTATGTAGAGACAGGAGTGTGGCTGTGGGCAGGAGAGCCATAGAGAGGAGGCTTCATGGAACTGGTCTCATTGCTTGAGGGACCCTACTGGTGCCAGGAATAAGAAAGTATTAGGGCCACGGTCCTGTGCAATTCACATGCCGTTCAGTGCGATGCAATTTGAGCAAGCTCAAATCTCACTGCACTGCACCAAAAGTAATGCATGCACTACTTTTGGAAACACGCTGAACCTGGATCGTATGGTGAACATTCTCTTTGCCTTTAGTAAATGAATCCCAAAGTATTCACTATACTTCAGCTATTCCACATCAGCTGTGACAATACTGACATTTAAATAGGAATACACTTGTGCCTTGGTACAGTTATCAGCAGATATAAGTACAGATTTACGCTAAGGAAGATACAGCAATATAATAGTAACACTATGATTGTCCACAACATGGTTTAGTCAAACATCAATTACATCATTACAGACTGAAAAATGTAGATTTCTCACTTCAGTCTCTAGTTAGGTGGATTTTTCTTGTCCTAATGTAATACTATCATGATTAAGGCAGACTACTTCTCAGTCTGTCATTTGGTTTTACCAGGAAACCTGCCATGACAAAGATGCCCAGGCTGTCATTGCTGACATTACTAATATCTTAAGTAATTAACCCAAAGCAAGTAAACTAGAAAACGATAAGAGGGTACATGCTTATGCCTAATGAACCAGAAATGATGAACATTAAAGGATCAGCATAACAACTACATCATCATAAGGAGGTCAGCAATGGCAGGTTACAAAGTTTTCTGAAGATGGGGGTCCTTTAATTGTTTCCACTGTTATCAATCACAGTAATGAAAAAAAAAATCAAATGGAAATTTCACATTTAATTTAGAATCTAATTCCAGAATCATCACTTACCGAAAGCACTCCTTGAGGTGGTCCAGAAGAGTTTTATGATACCTGAAGACTTTTTTATGTTTTGCAGAGAAAGCATTTTCAGAGTATATGGGCCTGGTCACCATGTAGTGACTTCCAATGTTCTCAGTCATCGCTTCCAAATATTTCCTGCTGTGTGGAATCTTTATCATGGTTCATTTCTAGGTAGCAGATGGCTGAATGGAAAGGAGGGCTCATTACGTCCAGAAAGTATCAAATGTCACTCGCTACTGATGCAGAGTAATAAAAATTCCTTTTTCAGGTAGTCACTCAATCATGCTGATTTTGTAGGTGTTCTATAAATATTTAATAACCAATTCATATTACAAGGTAGAAAAAAGAATTTTACTAAATATAAGGGCTTCATAATACTGATATTTAAGGTTCTGGCATATTAAAGCAACTCGTGAAAGTCCATCTTTCATTATTAAGACTACAGAACATTCAGTGCCAGTATTCCAAGTAGGCAAAGTAGGCACCAGATAATGGACTAAAAGCCATTTAGGGCCCTGCAACAACAGATCAAAATAATATTGATTTGATCTTGAATGAAAATTACAATGATGCTTTCTTAAAGTGTTTGTAAACCCTCACCTTTTAAAACAACCTATTCAATTTAAAATAGATATGAAAGGCAAAATGATGAACAGGTCTTTGTGATCTGAGATGACCTACATTTGTGACAGACCATAGGATATAAAGGAACAGGTACTCTGCTAGAGTGTAATGATAACATTTTGCACATAACCTACCCCATACAGCTTGGTGGTAATATTGACAGTTTAGTGCAATCTCACAGCATATTTGTCCATCTCAAAACTGCTTTGTTCCAATAAACTCCTTCCTAGATGTATCCAAATACACTGCTCAAAAAATGTAAAGAACACTTTTTAATCAGAGTATAGCATCAAGTCAATTAAAGCCCTGGGATATTGATCTGGTCAGTTAAGTAGCAGAGGGGATTGTTAATCAGTTTCAGCTGCTTTGGTGTTAATGAAATTAACACAAGAGGTGCACTAGATGGGCAACAATTAGATGATTAGGTTTTACAGGTCACTAACATTTTTTTCCCTACTCATCTTTTCTGACTGTTTTTCACTAGTTTTGCATTTGGCTAGGGTCAGTGTCACTACTGGTAGCATGAGGCGATACCTGGACCCTACAGAGGTTGCTCAGGCAGTCCAACTCCTCCAGGATGGCACATCAATACATGCCATTATAAGTACAAGCGTGAATACGGTATTACCTCAAAACAATCCAATCAATATCTAGATTCAAAATAGAAAAACTTTCAACCCTTGAAAGTACACTAATCAAAGAATAATTCTAAAGAGAATCGAATAACCCTCCCACTAAACAATCCCACCCAACTCAAATCAACATACAGCCCACACCCCTCAAATTAATAATTAATAAAATGTCCAACCACCAATACTCATAAACCATATAATCACTCAAATTATAATGTCCAGTGTCTCAACAGTCCAAAACAATGATGAAAGATAGAGATGAATGTATTATACATGGAATTTCTTATAGGTGTTGAAACACTCCAGTGGCTTCCACGAAAACCTCAAATTAAACAAAACTCAAAATAGTGTATTACCTTAATTACTCTTCCAAAAAATCACTTAGTGCGTGCAAAACGCAGAAAATAGTGCAAAAACCGTGAAAATTGCAAACAACACTTGTGCCAAACAGTGATGTGCTTCACTCAGTGCAAACAACTCCAGTGGTGTAACACTTCTGCTAAGCAAGGCATATATACCCTTACCAGAGATAAAAAGAAAAACGCCTTGTTTTGGACTGTTGAGACACTGCACATTATAATTTGAGTGATTATATGGTTTATGAGTATTGGTGGTTGGACACTTTATTAATTATTAATTTGAGGGGGGTGTGGGCTGTATGTTGATTT